AGTAGGAATCCTTGAGATCGATGATAGTGAAGACTTTACTTCCTCCTATCTGCGCTGCTACTGATTCGAATGTTGGCATATTGAAATGTTCTCTTATCTCTTTGTTGAGATGTTGGGGGTTGAGGCACAACCTTATGGAACCGTCTTTCTTCTCTGTTATGACAATATTGCTAATAAAATCTGTGGGGTGATCCACCTTCTCAATAACTCCTTGTCTCTCCATTTCTTCAAGTTTATTTCTCAATGGGGCCATCAACTTCTGTGGAACTCTGTGTGTAGGAGCAATGTGACCCTTGGCACCCTGCTTCAATGAGATGTGATACTGCCCAGGGAACTTTCCCAGGCCAGTGAATGCACTTTTATAAGCTCCCTTTTCTGTTGAATCTTGTGTAATTGATGCAGTTACTGAGTCAAGATTCCTTTGTTTCTCCACTGAAACAAGACCTAGAGCAATACAAGCTTGCAGTCCCAGTACTGGCACTGTTTTTTGTTTTGTAACAAACACTTCTCCAATGGTTTTACGTCCATTTGACATGCTCATGTCTACTTTCGCTCTGCCAATGTGCTCTACCACTGCACCACGAAACGCTCTAAGTATGGTATGAGATTGTTCTAGTTTGGGTCTACCTGCTATCTTTCTCCATATTTTCTGGGGTATGGAGCTGGTTTCTGCACCTGTGTCTATCTTCATTCTAATATGAGAGTCAGCTACCTTTACATTTTCAAACCATGCACGCTGATCTTCATTCCTGGACACACTGCCTATACTCAGCTCTATTGTTCCCATAAAACACTCATCACTGTGTTGAACTGCACTGTTATCATCATTACTTAGTTCATGGACATTTACAGTAGCTCTACAACAACTTTTGAAGTGGTTGTTACCTTTACACTTGTAACATGTCCGTCCCCATGCAGGGCAGTCTGTGTGCAGATTTGGACCATGGATTCTCTTACAACGTGCGCATAACTTGGTGTGTCGATTATCTTTCTTCTGAGAAAACTTCGTTGAGGGTTGTCTCTTACCCTTCTGTATCGTGGATACACTGGAAGTTGCAGCTGCGGCACCACGTGCGAGCCCAGACATAGAGTCAACTTCTTGCTTTGTGATCTCCGCCGCCCGGCAAATGTCTATAGTTTTCTCGAGGTCCAAATTTTTCTCCCTTAAGAGTCTTTCCTGCAGCCTTTTGTCCTGTGTAAACACTATTTTGTCCCTTACCATGTTGTTGGTCTCAGCAAAATCACACTTTGCCGCAATGGCCTTGACCTTTACCAGGTAATCGTCAAAAGGCATAGAGTCTCGCTTTAAGTTCCAAAAGCTGAATCTATTAAAAACGATCCTCTTCTCACCGCTCAGTTCAGTGTCAAATTTATCTAAGACTCTCTCGTAACTCTCTTTATCACCTGCTTCGTTCCAGTTAAACTGGTTGAAACGTTTTACTCCCTCCGGTCTCATGCACGTGAGTAGCATGGCGATTTTTGTGGCGTCTGTTTTCTCCACTGCTTCTTTGGCTACCAGAAACAGTTGGAACATTTGTTTCCATTCCCTCCAATTCTGGCTAACATCGCCATCAAAAGAGAACTTTGTTGGGGGCTTGAAGTCATTCATCCCGATCCTGACACCATGTAATGTTACGAGCGGAGGAGCGCACACCAGACGACACGTTGTAATAATCACTCAACTCAGCACACAGCCGCGCTTTATTCTAATTGGATAATATTACACAATGTGCATGAAGCACCACTATGTGACATATGCAACACTGTAAACACATTTCAAGGAAAACCGATAGGCCTTTTGTCATGAAACTCACAGGAGTAATCGATCTTACTATAACACAGGTCAAGTTCGAAAATCCGCATGATCGGGCCTCTATCTTAGTAGTTATGCTGTTTTTTTCATTTTTCAGCATATATGCAACACTGTAAACACAATATAAGAAAAACAGATGGGCCAATTGTCATTAAACTCACAGGAGTGGTCAATTTTACTAAAATGCAGGTTGAGTTCGTAAATCAGCATAATCGTGCTATTATTTTAGAAGGTATGCTGTTTTTTCACATTTCCTCAGATTCAATTTTAGGCATGTTAACAGTCTCATTATTAAACTAATAAGATA